TCTCTCTCCCCCTTTTTCTCTCTCTCTCTCTCTCTCCCCTCTCTCTCTCTCTCTCTCCCCCTCTCTCTCTCTCTCTCTTTTTCTCTCTCTCTCTCTCTCTCCCCTCTCTCTCTCTCTCTCTCTCTCTCTCTCTCTCTCTCTCTCTCTCTCTCTCTCTGTCTTTCTCTCTCTCTCTCTCTCTTTTTCTCTCTCTCTCTCTCTCTCCCCTCTCTCTCTCTCTCTCTCTCTCTCTCTCTCTCTCTCTCTTTCTCTCTCTCTCTGTCTCTCTCTCTCTCTCTCTCTCTTTTTCTCTCTCTCTCTCTCTCTCCTCTCTCTCTCTCTCTCTCTCTCTCTCTCTCTCTCTCTCTCTCTCTCTCTCTTTCTTTCTTTCTGAAACCGTTCAGCGTTGCTAATCAAGAGCGTATAAAGATACCTTCTTAATACGCTCTTGATATAATCCCTATAAATAAATGTAAAACCAACAAAACCAAAGAAATAATAATAAGGTACTACGTCCCCACAAATACCAAGTTCAAACACGAGCTGCATTTAAAACGAAACGAGAAACGAAAAAGAACTAAAAAAACAACAAAGAAACAAAATTTTAAAAAAAATATTAAAAATTGACAAAACCACATCAAGTCGAGCGTTGTTCGATCGTCTGTGCACCTACTAGTAGTTAATAGTGCTCGTCACGGCTACGGCGTCCCCGTTAGGCGCTAACACGGAGATGTGGGAGGTGCCGTGGTTGTCTGACGTCACGCCGGCAGCGTGGTAGTCGGCTCGGGGTAGAACTCCGTCGTCCCGTATCTGCGAGCGCACGTCGTCGACGTAGGCTGCCGACGTCATGTCGTGGACGTGCTGCCGACGATAAGGAAAGTTCAACCTTTGGTCCACGCCCAACGCGACCGGACCAGGCGACGTGAAACTCAGACGGTAACGAAGGGAAGACTCGTAACCCTATCGCTACATATATATAGACAAAGTATACAGACATGAATACGACAATGTAAGACACCCCCTCCCCTCTAAGGATAGTCTAACTCCCCGTTAACGTCGTAGTTGGGTTCCTGAAAACAGCGGCTTTAACTGAAACGACGTATAAATGAAGCGCTCTGCCATTTGATCGCGTTTCCAACAAAGATCTCTTATATATATATTATTAAAAAAGTTAATAATGCACCTACTTACGCCTAAGTTTCGTAAATATAAAACTTTTTTTAAATAAATAAATAGATCAAACATCTATTGTTAAGTAAGAGGTGACATTTTACTCGGTACATAGACTCCTTCTGATAATATACCCGATTACTTAGTAACAGTGGTATATTTTATTTTCTAAACGACGTTATAACGAAACAGCGTTGAATGAAATGCCGTTAATCGGGATCTTAGTACAATATAAATAATTGCTAATAATTATGACTACTTAAAAAAAGATAATAACGTCGTGTTTAAGGCGAAATCTACCGACAGAGCGTAGTGGTGCCAGTTTAAACGAAGATGGCCACCATCTATCGCGACGACATAGTCTAGATAATCCTATCGCAATCTCAGGCAGCTCCCCATGGTGATCGACCATGCTCACACATCTCGATTTTGATTACGACAATGATTGATGTATTAATAGCAGCGACAAACAAACACATTCCGCAGAACGTCAGCGTCATCGAATGACGTCATTCAACGTCAGCGTCATCGAATGACGTCATTTAACGAGGGACGCGTGCTGTGGCGACGCATTGCATTTTCACGAGAGAAAAATTAAGCGGACCTGTAAAAATTATTTGAATCGTATGGGGGCATATTTTCAATTGTCGATGTTATTTTGAGACAGAGAGAGAGAGAGAGAGAGAGAGAGAGAGAGAGAGAGAGAGAGAGAGAGAGAG